TTGTACAGATGTCTCAGATATATCAAAAAGACGACTCAGTTCAAATGAGTCTTGTATTGCCTAAACTTGATAAGTGTCAAGAAAAATAGATTATCTATGCTTAAAAATTCAACTTTGTTATAAAAATAGCTTAGATGATAAGCACCCTCACCTAAACTATTAAGTGTAAATATAAAATCAGTATAATTTGAAAGACCAGTATAAAATAAAACAGCAGCATCATCATGAAAAAATTTTTCAATGTGAAATAAAGGTTGATTACATTGAGTTGAAGCTGAAACAAAAACAGGCTCTATTACTGGTTCTTCCTTTGACTCGGTAAATTCATTATCATCTGTTGAAACTTCTGTTATCTCCTTAATAGTAAACTCGTCGTCTAAAACTATTACCTCTTCACTTGTGTTGTTGTTGTTGACATTGTCTTCCCTGGATAATCGTCGATTTAATCTTGATTCATCTGTACATTCTTTAGACCACTCGAAAACTGATGGAACAGAATCTGTTTTACGTTGACGTCTCAACGGTAGTGTGTCTGTAACCATAGAAATTAAATAGGTATAAGTAGAAGGTTACGTGTAAAAATGAACAAGCACACGTAAAAAAAAATCAAGCACATCTCATTGCACAAGTATTTGTGTCCTCAGCAGCAATAATTTTCAATATACACAAACACAACCAGTTGTAAACAAAAACATGTTAAAAAGCATTGTGGAAATGGATGTCCGGAAGTACATCTGTCCATAACATGTGACCCCAGTACCACTCACAGAAAGAGAGTATGAGAAAAACAATATGTTTGAACTTTTTTGTCAATATTTAGACATAACCATCACATCTGAAAAGCGATGCTGAAATAAGCTTTTTGATGTATATTTTCTCATGTAGTACAGTAGAAAAGCAGTAATCAATACAATGGCCATTAAGCAAATTCAACTATTTAGAGAAAAAAATCTATTTACCTGTATTTTTAACTACGGCATTTACCCAGAAGTCTAACAGGAATAACATGAAAAAAAGAAAAGAAACAAGCAGAACAGAACAAAAATAATTTCCTAAAATTTTGTTTGGTCAAAATATTTCTATTCCAAAAGTAATCTCTCATTTGAAAAATAATTGAATTAGATACTAGAACTAGAAATTTTTTTCGAAATCCTAAAAGTAAAAATTCTTTCTAAAAATCATAGAAAAGCCCTGTTATTAAAGACAAAACTGAAATTAAAAAAAAAGAAAAAGTATGCATGTTAACACATCTTAGTATGTCTGTATTCAACTGAATGAATAGCCTATTTTCTGCCATCCTATCTTGATTCTAGGCCAATATCTAGATCAATGCAATACATTTTTAATTTGAGTCTATCACAAAAGGAAAAGGCATACATATTCAAAATATAATTTTTCCCAGAATTTAGAATATCTTTGGCTATCAAATCAATAGAAATAATATTGATAATTGGCGTATATTACCTTGCCTGACAAGCTATTGTTATCACTTCCATTGCTCTACCTAATTTTCCCCTGTCAATGATTAACAACCTGAAATAAAAAATCCTCTAGTTTTCAACTTGGAAAATAAAACCTGTGTACTGAACTCTGAAACATTCTGACACAATTCCATTTCTTGCACCACAGTTGCAGAGTTTTTACATACTTATTTACCTCTACACCTTTCATATTAGTCCAAACTAATCCATGAACCTAAGAGATCAAATATCATTTCATCATTGCATGTCTAAAATTATTGAATTATGGAATTATTTGCATACTCTTACATTAATTTGTTTTATATTGCAGTACAATGTAACGGGAAAAGTTATCCAAATGACAGAAGTTATCAACATATTTATCCACAATACACACAAGAAAACTAGAACTATTACGGTCCATGATGGAACAGAAGCAGTACCTACCACAGCTCTTTTGCAAATTAAATTTCAAAACACAATAGAAAAAATTATTGCCACTGATGAGATCATTTCCAAATTGCTACAAACTAATGCATGTGAATCTTATGTGAAAATAACACATTAAAACCATTTGATTTGATTAAAAATACTGTTTGATTGATTATTGGGCATTATTTTACTATAAATATGTTTGTACAATTTTTTATAGTTTTTATATCCTACATGAAAAAATATTATCACTTCCAGAAAGTAAATATTATACAGGTATGGCAGGTATTTATTACAAATGTTCGATTATAATTAATTTTAAGTATTGCTTTGGATATATGTAATATGTGGAGCATGTGTATGGTTCTCATTAGGAAATAACTTAAGTTTTCAAAAGTGTTTCAAGTTTTTTCTTTTTTGTCTATTCATTTATTATTATTATTTTTGTAATTAATTTTTTCTATTTTGTTTTATTTTTTTTTTATTGTTTGTAATATTTTTTTTTAATTTTCAGAAAAAAAATAGAAAAATTAAAACCACTGTGGCCCATCGTTCTCATTCTCATAGTAAAATATCAAGTCTCTGTGATTGAGAGATGTTTGGATTACAGTAATTTTCGTTCTTCACTAACACGTTTTATGGCGTTACTAGAAAGGAATTGCACAGATATCAATAGTAGCTACCGGTAGCTCCCCACTGGTAACGTCATAAAACGCGTTAGTTTTAGTGGAAATGCAAGAAACACAGACGTTGGAATGAAAACTGGAATGGTGCAAATTGATGCTATCAGTTTCCCCGATACACTTAAAAAGTTTAGAAAACCTCTTTACAATCTCTTTAAATATCAAATATGACAATGGACAGATCTTGGAAAGAAGCAAGTGATTGTAAGCGCTCCCAGAAGAGATTATGACAATTTGTCGCGTTACAGCTTTAATACATTGGATGAACTGTAGAAACCAAATATTTTTATTTTGATGGGTCATCTAAAATTTCATTGTTATTTCAAATAATTCAAACATTTATTGTTTTAAAAAATGAACATACTTTTTCCCTTTGCAAAAAGATAAGGGCTTGTTGCTGGTATCTGGCAAGCTCTTCTGATAATGTTGTCTGCTAATAACTCGACTGCCAATTGACTGTCTTCAGGAATAAGCACTGAAACAGCTTTGCCCACCTGCAATGACATAAAATATGGATTATATTGTAAAAAAACAGCCAAAACTTATGTGCAATTGGTTGATTTGTACAATACTTGGTTTTTCAAGGTGTGCTTGCACCTTATCAGATATATATCCAAGATCATCACTTATTGTCTTGTGTAACTATGATGTGAATTTCTACTCACTTTTTCTCTGATTTGAAATAATTCTTGAAAGCGTAGGAGCTATTTCTCTACATCAGATAAATCTTCCGTTAAACCCATCTCAATTTCATCAATACCTGTAACCTACTCTTATACCATTCCAAGCTGATATATTTCAAATAAAACAGTTCAGGATTTCATTCTAACAATTAATCAA